ATCTATAATATTCTTCTTCAACTCCGGTATTTGGCATAGAAGCAACGCGGGATCTCTGTTGTGGAAGGCATAAATAATTTGGACGACCACACGATCGACCTGGAGTTTTTACAGATTGAGATCTACAGTGATGAGGGCTGCCGTACCTTTTATTAATAAAAAAAAAAAAAAAAAGGCTTAGTTGCACGTGGTAAATAATTCGAAGGGTAATTAATATACGTACTTCATGTCAAACTCATGGAGTTCTTCCAGAGTGAAAGTATTAGCCACATCTAGTAGTGAATCTTCTCTTTGACCGCTGGGACCTGAGATGCTTCCTCTTTGAATACTTGCCTGCTGAACAACTATGGTTGCAAGCGGACGTCCTTTCGTTCCAGGGGTTAATTTTATTATTTCGGTTGTTTTACCGTCTATCTGAGAAGTATAAATTTCTCCGGGAGGAAGTAAAGAAAATTTTCTAGCACTGACTATGTCACCTGATAACCGAAATTATTTTTAATATTTTTAAAAACTCTTATCATTGAATTCGTGTAAAATCGTCAAAGTAATTAAAAATTACCTAAAGTGTTTATGGAAAATTTTCGAGGTTTGTCATCAGGTACAATGGAAGACTTTCTACCCGTTTCATCCCCCAACAAATTTCTCAGGGTATCACCAGGAACCATGCTCGACTTTCTTTTGTAAATATCTTCCAGAAGAATGTTTCTTGTCGTGTCTTCGGGTACCATCGATACTTTTCTCTGTTTATTAGGTTTCATTTTTGACGTGTCCGGTTCTTCAAATATGAAATGTCTCAACGACTCTCCTTGTACAATGGAAACCCTTCGGTGCCTCTGGGGACAATCGCTGCTTCTTCTATTTCCACTTTTCTTTTTAACTATATTTTCTTTATTAAAATTTTCATTGGTTTTTTTAAATTCTTCACTGCTTTCGCTGACGAAATTTTTTATGCTCCCATCATTTGTCAATATTGAATATTTACGATTTTGCCGACACTCAAATTTTTCATTTATAATAGAATCGTGGATAACATCTTTCGACCTTCTGTTCTGCAATACTTTTTCATCAGATTCTAATAATTTCACCGGAGAATCTGAACTAATTGATTTCCTATCATTTCTTTTTTTTCTTTTATTGCTAAGCCTATTCTGATTGTCATTCACAATATTTTCTTCATTTTTATTAATGATATGTTTTGTTGAATTTGTAATATCGTTTTCTTGATTTGAATTTTCCGAAACTCCCACTGTGACGAGAGTGTTATTGTTTTCAGTTGGAGATGAGCAACATGGAAATTCAAATTTTGAATTATTTTCCGTCAAATTAAGGTAACTTTCAGCCGGAGGAGAACTTTTCAATGTTGTCGGCGAATCCATATTAAAAATACTTTCAAATTTTGATTGATGTTTGTTGAAGTCTTCTTGAGTGTTTTTCTCGTGTTTTTCCAAATTTGAACGAGTCAACAATTCCGCTGTAGGAAACGAAACGAAATTCGTGAAATTTTCTGTTTAATTTGCCTCCTCTTTTTAAACTAATTTTTTGAGCAATTATGAAATTCATTGAACGTCATTAAAACAAATATGACGAGAGTGAATAAAACTTAGAAGTCAATTTTTAAAAAGCAATTTTACTTTTGCAATTGTTACAAATTAATAACTTGTTACTTACACTTTGATGAGCCATCTTGTTCTTTCACATCATTAATATTTATTTTAAAGGAAGAAGATATGTCAGCCAATTTTTTAAGGCTACTAGATATATCTCTTTTTAATTTAGGCGAAGAAGATCTAGATATTGATTTAGGTGAGGAACTCCTTGGCGGAAACGGAAATAAAGTTCCCTCGGTTGTTTTATTTCCGGACTTGGGTGACATTTTCGGAGAATATTTTGGCGAAATTTTATTTAATTCTGATTGATTCCATTTGTTATCATCTTGGTCTCCCATTTTTTTTCTTTTATTAAAATTCGAAGTAAACGTTCTTTGTGGTAATTCGCTTTGAATCGTACGAATATTCGATCTTGGTTTTTCCTCATTTTTTGTTACGTTTTCCTCATTATCGCATTCGAAAACAGATTCTAATGTTTTTATAGTTTTCTCATCTATTGCGGATAATTTCGAAAAGAAATTTTGATCTTTTTGATAACTTCCGGTTAGAGGTGTTGGAGGAGGAGCTCCGGGAGCTACCGAAAAAATTATTTTCGTAATGTTGAAAAGTTTCAAACAGATTTTTTTAATAATATTTTTTAAAACTCACCTGATTCCGGTTGCTCTTCTATACTACTAAATATATCATCAGATTCTTTTTCTGACGAACCTGGAGCATGAAAAAAAATTTGGTCCTGATTTGTACTTTTTATTTGTTTATCATCATTTGTTGTTTCGTATAATTTTTCCTTTTTAATCTTTTCATAATTTTTATTTTTTTTCTTTAATTCACCGACATCCCCTTCAAATTCGGTTAATCTAATATCAGTATCGTAAATTCCTGTAAATTTTATTATTATTTAGCCATAAAATAATTTCGCGACAAATTTTTTAAATGATGCAATTAAAACGTTTGAAAAAAAAAAGAAAAGATGATACTAGTTTTAAAAGTTGTAAACTTTTTGAGCTTAGTATAGTCGTTAAAGAAAAAAAAAAAAAAGTTTTTTTTTTCCCCCCAAACTTTTAAAATTAAAAAAAAAAAAAAAAAAAAACACAAATGTAAAAAAAAATAAAAATATGAAGAGTGAAAACAATTTTTTTTTTTTTTTGAATAAAAATAATACAGTAAAGTTTTTTTACGTTATTTTAAATTGTTTTTTTTTTATTACTCAAGTAATAAATTAGTTATTGTTTTCAAAAAAAAAATTAGTTTTCCGCTACGGTGAACCATAAAATGTATTTTTTTTTAAACAAAAACATTAAAAAATATTTTTCATTAAAATTGTTTAAAAAAAAAAATGAAAAGTTTTTTAAATTTTAAAAATGTAATTTTTTTTTTTGTTTCTGTTGGAAAAGATTAGCGAAATTTGTATAATATGCTCAAAAAGTTTTTTTTTTTTTTTTTTAAATATAAATGTGCGCCATGAATTTTAATTATAATGTTAAAATATTTTCTTATTCGTTTAGAGGAGTATTTAAAAACCGACATTTATAAGATTAAACTACGTCAGTACCTTTACTACTATTATTATCATCTTGTATTTCCTGATGCTCTACCATTCCCATTTTATTATTATTATTAGTTTTACTTCTCAACTTTTTATCTGCATTTATTCTCTTTTCATTTTCTAAAAATAATTCGTCAAATTCGCTTAATATGTTTCTCGTTCGTGTTGTCGTCGTCTCTTGTATTTTTTTATGATCTTTTAATTCTCTTTTCGATTCGAAATTTTCTTTCGTCTGTTTCGTTTGATATTTTTCATCTTTTTTCATAAGGGATTTATTTTCTAATAAATCGTGTTCGAATTTTTCTTCCTGTTCCGCATCCGTTACCGTTACCATCGTATACACAGTATTCGATGAATCCGTTGACGTGTTTGTTGTCGTTTCCGATGCCGTGCTACTCCCCATGAGCATTAATTTTGGTATGCTTTGACCGCCCGATCCCGTACCTTGACCTGTTAAAGTAAATTTCTTTCTTGAAACTTTAATTACCTGGTTTTAATTCTTTTTTTTTACTTAATAATTTACGAAAAAGATATTATTATTATTATTATTATTATTATTATTACGTTCCATAATACATTTGGTAAGAATTAAAAATGTCACAATGATGATAAACGAAAACAAAAGGTTAGTTTTATTATTAAGATAAAAAACTTACAAGTAGAAATTTTAGTTTAAAATTGTGTTTGTCGTTTGTTGTTTTAAAATTATTTACAACAAACGTAAAACTTTAAAACTATACATAAATATATAAACGTGATTGAATCCCGAAACTAATGATAAAGATTTTCAACAACATAAACTCATAATAAATTTTGTATTTTAAACATATTTAGTTGAACATGAGTTAAAATTTTTTTTTATTATTATTATTATTATTTGGTTGTTATTACATACGAAACTACTATTGTATTATTATTATTATTATTATTATTATTATTATTATTATTATTATTATTAAGTGAAACAAAGTTTTTGCGGTTACAAATGAAACCAAATTTTCACTATCTATAATCACAAACTTGTAAGTTTTTATATTATTTTTTTTACATCTGATTGTTTTATAAGTGAAAGTTTTCTTCTGCCATTTTTCTTTTTTTTTTTTTTTTCGATCCTATAAAAAATTCAATGAGGAAAATTATAAAAACAAACGTTGTCAATTTTTAATTACATTTTTCTTTTCGACCTAGTAATAAAAAAAAATTATTTTTCACAATTACATCAAACTTTATTTAAAAAAAAAGAAAAGAAAAAATTTTCTCTAGATTTTCTCAGTTAAAAAACTGGAAAAGGCGTAGTCGTGAATTTCATGAGGAGGAAAATATAAAAAAAAATCCAACACAAAAAGATTTATTTTTTCCCCCCCCCACCCTTTTCAAAGGTCAAACTTGCCTTGTTATACTAATAACGTTTCTTCTTGTTAACACAACTAGCTATTATATAGAGTTGGGGGGAGGGGGAAGAAAAAAAACTTTTTTTTTTTTTTTTTTTCGTCTACATAAATATCGATATTTCCTTACCACTATTTGAAAAAGAAAAAAAATTTCGCGCACGTTTAAATTTAAAAAATTTTCTAAAATAACAAAAATAAACTTAAATTTTCACAAAAGAAAGAAAATTTTTTTTCAAAATTCTGCTGGTTTCTTTCAAACCAGCCGCCATTTTTTTTTTATTCTGTTGGTATAACTCCTTAATACTTTATTTAAAATTTTCCCTTTCTTTAAGAAAAAAAAAAAAAAAAAAAAAAATTTTTTCATAACTTTTTATTCACTACCATCATCATCGAAGTAGTAGTAAAGTTAAAATAAAAAAAAATTTTTTTTTTTTTTCAAAGGAATTTTTTTATAATAAAAAAACAATACGTATAATAATAATAATAATAATAATTCATCACGATACGTTTTAAATTTTCCATTGTTTTAGGTGTCTGTCAATCGTAAATCATAAATATATGTAAATCGATTTAATATTAAAATAAAATCCGGACATTATAATTTACGTTCGTTTATTTTAACCTCGGATATAATCTAATTGTTAATTTTTTTAAAAATAATAATGAGGTCATAACCTTTCCCCTAACCGCATTTCCCGTTATTATTATTATTTTCAAAATCAATCAATCAATCAATCTTTCGAATCCCTGTTACGCCAATCAAAAAAAAAAAAAAGGGGGGGAGAGAGGGAAATTTTTTAATTAAAAATAAATGGTTTCGACGTATAAATTATAAGTAATAATATTTTTATAATATGAATGAACATAAAATGTTTTTCTTGCGTTTAAAAACAAGCAAACACAACAAAAACATGATTTTTTTTTTAAATATTATTATTATTATTATTAAAATTTTTAAAAAATGAATTCAATTTATATAAAAAATAAAAAGTAAATACTTGATTTTTTTTTTTTTTTAATGTTGATTTTCAATGGCAAACAAAAGATGGAAAAAAAGAAAAAATTTTTTTTTTCTTCCATGTTCATTAAAAAAAATCAACGTGCCCTAAAGGGAAATTTTTTTTTTTTTTTTTTATCCTAAACCTTCAAACAAGGAAAAAAGGAAAAAAAAATGAAAAATCTCATCAAAGGTATTAATTTTCACTAGATGTATAATAAAAGAAAAAGAAAAAAATTTTCTCTCTCTTTTTAATTATAATTATTATTATTATAAAAAATAAAATTTTTTTTTTTTTTTTTGTAAATTTAATATCATCTTTTCCGGCTAACTCGTTACACACACACACACGCACCCTTAAAAATTCAAAGTTTTCAATTATTATTATTATTATTATTGTTGTTGTTTTGTTGTAAAAGGAAAAAAAGGAAAAATATCGAATTTAAAAAATTCGTTTTCATCATCATGATTTTAAACCTTAAAAAAAAGAAAATTTATTATTTTTTATCGATATAAATTTTTTTCTTTTTTGTTATTGCCACGTCATTTTTTATTAGTAATTTTTTTTTAAATTATTCCCTAGGGATCATCACGAATATTGTTGTTGAATATGCAAAAATTTAAATTTAATAAAGTTTACTAATTTTCTTAAATTTGTGGCAAAATCCTTTAGGGGATGATAATTTACTCTTTGTATAAAAAAAAAAAAAAAGTGTGAATACATAAAGAAAAAAGAAAACTTTTTTTTTTTTTTCTTAAAAAAAATTTTCTTTTTTTTATTTATTTATTTACTATTCTTGATTTCATTTTTCTTTAAAAATAATAATAATAATAATAATAATAATTCTCATGGGCTTTTTGTTTTTCTTTTCTTATTTTTCTTTTTTTTGTTATTATTTTTCTTTTGCTTTATTTTTATTCTTTTCATTCATGAATATATATATTTTTTTACATTAAGAAATAAATAGTGTGTTCATAATTATAAAAAATGTTAGTTTTCCCTCCTCTTTCTCTCCCTCCACCCTCTCCACCCCCTCTCTCTCATCCCTCCCCGCCGGTTTTCATTGTTTTCAAAACATTGAATGCTTTCTTAATGTAATGTTTTTCATACATGCAACCCTCGCCCCGGCCCGGCACTCATTCCCAATAAAAAATTATTGTTATTATTATTATTATTTTCATTTTCCATAGCTCTGACCTAAATAATAAGCTAAGTAGAAGTCTAAGAGATTAACAAAAAAAAAAAAAAAAAGAAAAAAAAACTAATAAAAAAAAAGCTTTCAGTGTGCTTAAAAAAGATAACGTCTTTTTTTTTTATATTTTCTTTTTTTTTCCTCCCCCCGCCCCCCCCTCCCCGGCTTAATTCGCAACATTTTCCCTTTTTCCCGTTATTTTTTTTTTGTATGTGTTTTTTTTTTTTTTTATTTTAAATTATGAGTTTCGCAATGTTTTTTGACTTTTTTTCTTTTTTCTGTTAATGATAGAAACGTTTTCCAAGTGAAAATTACAGAGAAATAAAAAGAAAAATTTATAAGCAATCATCATTATTAAATTTTCTTTTTTTTTTAATTTAAAATCGAATTAATGAAAGCGTTTTGTTAATTTAATTTCAAACGTAATTTTTTTTCAGCCCCCCACCCATTTTTCCTCCATTTTTTTTTTTTTTTTTTTGTATTAAAGGATGAATAATTACTTTTGGCAAAAACAATTTCGACCTTGGATCCTTTATACACAAAAATAAACCAATGGAAAATATCTTTAGTTTTTTCGACATTATAAACAAAATTCAAAATTATTATTATTATTATTATTTCGTAATTTCACCCTCGTTTCCCATTTAAAAAAATTTTTTTTTATCATTCATAAAGTAACGAAAATTGCCCAAAAATAATTAACCTTAATTTTGACGAAATAAGATTATAATTTCGTTTATGAAAAAAACATCATTTAACAACAAACAGAACAAACATTGACGTTGTTTGTTTCTATAAAAACAAACTACAAATTCGTAACGATACAATAATAATAATAATAATTATGTTTTAATTAATTCCTCTCTTAAATTTATTTTTTTAATTTGAAGTGATGAAAAAAAAAAAAATATTAATTTAATGCTTTTTAACTTTTTCAACGTTTTTTTTTAAATAAATAAATAATTAAGGCAATTAAATAATTCACTCGAAAAAGTAGAAAATTATTAGAATTGCATAAAAAACCAAAAAAAAAAAAAAAAAAACAATGCAATTCGTTTAAAAAAAAAAAAAAATTTACGACCATATAATAAATGATTATTTAATTACAATTAATGAAAATTAAATTAAATTTAATTAAATTAAATTTTTTTCCCCAACGATAAATTTCCTTATTTAAATTTAACTAACGGATATTATAACATTTGTAAATTTTTACTAATTTTTTATTTTAGAAAAATTAAAAAAAAATTAATTAAAAAGTTTAGAAAAATTAATTTTAAATAATATTCGACCGTAAATTACTACTGTTGGGGAAAAAGAAGAAAAGCCACTAAAATAAGTAAAAAAATAATAAAATTTTTTTTTTCTTTTTTCACCATTTAAAAATTATTAACGGTTTTTTTTTTTTTTATAAATTGTGTATTGATAACCGCAAAACTCTTATCAAAAAATAATCAAAATGTTTTTTTGCTTGATTACGTCACGAGGAAATTTTAAAATACGAAACATCGTAAAAAATAAAGAAAATGGGGGAAAACAACAACAACAACAAAATGTAACACATATGTTAATGGATGCTTCTAGAATATGAAAAAAAAATTTTTTTTAAATACATTCATCGTATGAAATCGTTATCAAATCGTTTGTCAATATTTATTAACTAATTTTTTTTTTTTTTGGGGAGGGGGAAACAATTTAAAAATAAAAAAATTAAAATTAACACGGCCAAAAAAAAGCAAATTTTGCATTTTCAAGTTCAATTTTTTTTTACATCTTTCAAACTATCGAATTTATATATATATATATATATATATATATATATATATATATATATATAAATAAAATAAAATAAATTATTTCCGTGAGATATTGTGTAAAATTAACCTTACTTTGAAATTTTTCCCTGGGGGGGATTGTTTGTGGGATCAAAGGGATAGAAATTTACAAAAAAAAAAAAAAATTTTCTTTTTTTATCTATTTTCGTTAACGGGTTGTGTGTGGGCGAATCTCGCAACGATTTTGGCATTTGTTCCTTTTTTTTTTTTTTTTTTTTTTACAAAAATAACTGTTTTTATAAAAAAAAAACAAAAAAAAACAAAAGATTGTTTTTGTATCGTTGAATTATATAATTTCCTATTTTGCTTTTCATTAAGTTAAAAAATTTTTTTTCTGTTACAAACGAATAATTTTGATTTTCTGCTTGCCCAGAGTCACGATTTAAAAAAACAAAATAGATTTAAAAAATTGACTTTTCTTTTTTCTTTTTTTTTTTAAATATACATTTTGTTGTTGTTTTTTATTAAAAAAAATTAAACTGTCATAAATAATTTTTTTAAAAAAGAAATTTTCCTATCATTTTTAAACAAATTAATTAACGTTAAATTAAAAAAAAAAAAAAAAAACGTTTTCATTTTTTTTTTTTTTACCTGAAAAAAGAATTTTTTCGGTGTTCGTAACGATTTCATAATAAATAAATAAAAAAAAAAATCCAGAAAAATTAATTTCCTGTTTCTTCCTCCCCTTCCCTCACTCTCCCCCTCCCCTCCTCCCCTTCTTCCATAACACTAAATTATTAAATGAGATTTTTTTTTAAAAAAAATTATAATTATTATTCTCTAAAGTAAAGCTTCGAATAAAATATAATACAAATTTTTTTTTTTTTTTTTAAGAAAACAATATCCATTATTTTGTTTTGTTTTGTTTTTTTTTTTTTTGGGGGGGGGGGGGTTAAAAAAACAAAAAAAAGAAAAGAAAACCACAAAAA